CAACGAGTGAAGGCTATTTGGTAATCTCTAACTCCAGGTCACCTCTACCTTCTCTGCTTGCGCAGCAGATTGGGTAATAAAACCTATAAAGACAACTAAGGCAAACAGACCTCGCCAGGTTGGCGCGTTCTAACTTCTACATGTTCAGCTAAACTGCTGTTTCAAAAGAGAAAGAAACAAGAGAACAAGTATTTATCTGACATACGTTTTCTCTACACCAAAACCAGAGACTGCGTACATGTGTGCATCAACTTGGAGATCCACGGAAACAACAACTTTATTGCAGCATCACTCAATTCTGTTCAGGATCCAAGAGTGAGAACTGGAGAAACCAATAACCAATACCCATTAAACTGATTTATTTTAGTTTTATTCTTGAAGTTTTACTGCAATCAGCCTAGAAAACTGCAACTACTCAGTCAGCATTTTAGGAATTACAGGCAGAGAGATACAATGCCAACCACAAAAAAAAAAAAAAACACCTTAGGAGCAAAGCATCAAACTTAATTATTTTCATGTGTTTACAGGCAGGCCAATAGTCTTAAGTAAACTGCTCAGAGCACAGAATTACATGTAGACATTAAGCACTGCAAGAGCGACTTACAGTGATTTTCTGTATATGGACATTTAGCTGAGTAAATAACAAGTAAAAACTGCTCTGTGGAAGAGGTCATTGCAGGTTACAGGAATAACACGAAGAACTAAAGTTCTTCCAAAGTTCTATCTAGTTTTCTCACATTTACTTGCTGACAGTGGAACCTACTCTACACCTTTATCATACATGCAACCTAAGCTTTATTTCTTTGCTTGGACTGTAGGATCCTACAAAAACAGAGCCGTCCTCCAAAGGCTGAGATCTGCAACAACAACAATACAAAAAGTAGTGCTTACTCATACTGAGTCCTTTGGTGGACAAAGTCCATGAATGGTCAGATTTAAATGTGAAATATCAAAACAGCAAGGAACGGAGGGAGGGAGAGAGGGAGGACTCAACAGACAGCCAACAAGCTGCATGCTGTACTATACAAAGAATAGCTAGTCTCCCTTTTACTGGTTGAAAAGATAAACCTGAAATACACCTGGTACCACTCAGTGATACAGCTGAGCCTTCCCAGTATTCATATTTAAGACAGGATTTGAGTTCATTGCCTTTCTCTGAGCAGACCCTTTTAAGGTCTATCTCTCCAGATGAAGCATTCAATCCCTTCACACAGACCAGGCTTATCTTCAGTGGTGATCACAGGTCTAAGACCTGTGGCTGTTACCAGGGAAGATTCCTTAAAGAACCAAATGAGTTACTAGACTGTAAGAGTAGGAACAAATCATTTAGTGAAAAACATCTGAACATAACCATCTGTCTATATCCATTTATGCTTGGTCTTCTGCTTTCAACAGTTCCTTTTAGACTAGGGGATGTGGGGACTGCTATGGAAAGTCGCACAGCTTTCGTAAAGATACACAGCTTTAAAAGCTATACAAATGATTTTATAGTTACCGGAGCTGAGAGCATAGATTTGTTCAGAACAAAACTCAATAAAAACGTGATACAAATGGAAATAAGGGCTATAAATGAGTTTGACATGCTCCTTTATAGACAATACGTGGCAGTAAAATTCTGCATTCAGAGCCAAAATCACCTCAAATCAGATTTTAACAACCAGCTTGTTAACAGATGAAGTATTCAAACACAAGCACAAATAAGTTCCACACCTGACTCTTCTTCATCAGTTGCAAACTTTCTCATAAAACTAGCACTTGCATTTGCACATTCGGGCAGAAACTTTTATCTCTGAAGTCTCAATTAAAACAGATTAACTAAGTGAGAGCAAAAAGACTGTAAGGATATTTATGTTCTGAACCTCTGATAAGTCATGATTTAACTGAACTTGATTAGGGTCAATTGCAAGATAAACACAAGTGAATTACGTTCACCGAAACATCTGCACAATACAAACTCTAAAATTCTGTGACATTAAGTGGTCCAAAACTCTGTAGACAGCTATTAACATGAAACAATTAGTAAAATTAAATTTGATACTCCGGAAACTTGTTTTATCTTCAAAGTGTACTTATCTGGTAATCTTGGATGGTAGAGATAGTAAACAGTTGTTTGTTGTTGTTGTTTTTGTTTTATATTATTTACTTTTAGTAGAATCATAGAATAACTTGGTTTGGTAGGGACCTCAAAGATCATCCAATCCCCTGCCATGGGCAGGGCTGCCCCCTACCAGCTCAGCTGCCCAGGGCCCCATCCAACCTGGAATTGAATGCCTCCAGGGATGGAGCATCCACGTCTCTGGGCAGCTGTGCCAGCACCCCAGTGCCCAATGAGTGAACAACTTTTTCCTAACATGCAATTTAAATCTTCCCTCTTTCAGTTTAAAGCCATTCCCCCTTATCTTACTGCTATCAGATCACGTAGGAAGTCACTCTGCTTTCTGCTTATATGTTCCCTTAAAGTACTGGAAAGCCACAATTAGGTCCCCTTGGAGCCTTCTCCACACTAGAAGTCCAGCTCTCTCAACATGTCTTCTTAAGAGAGGTGCTCAAGCCCTCTGATCATCTTCATGGCCTCCTCTGGACCCGTTCCAACAGCTCCACATCCTTCCTATACTGGGTGCCCCAGGCCTGGACACAGTTCTCCAGCTGGGGGTCTTACAAGGGCAGAGTAGAGGGGGAACAATCTCCTCCCTCTCCCTGCTGGCCACCCCTTTTCGGATGCACCCCAGGATACAGCTGGCCTTTTGGGCTGCAAGCACACACTGCTGCCTCACATCCAGCTTTTCTTAATGGAAATACTGAGGACGCACAGTGAGGTACTTAGCATCTTCTACCTTTAAGCATGAAGTAGCCATCACAAATTATTAATTGCAAGTATGACCAGCCAAAAGCCAAGTAAACTGCTCTCCAAATACTAAACCATTTCATTCCATCTTGTCACAGTAGAAAAACCCATACACACTGTGTTTAATTAACCAAATCTTAAAGAAAACCACCATAACAATGAGAATTAAAACAGTAGTTGATTCTCACATGGATTTGTTGCAGTAGTTCATATATTAAAGAATGTGTTTTAATTTCACTTCAGAAATACCTGAATTAATCTTCCATCTCTGTACAAGATTCTAATTTTCATTATACTTTTTTTTTTTTATTAGAGCCCTATTATACTTCCCTCCCACCCCGTGAATGAATGCTTTGAATGAATGTTTTGAGCTTTAAGATAATTTCTTCAGCTCTTAAATCATTTCCACTTATTTTGTTTCCCTAATTTCCAAAGCTCTTCAGTAGAACAAACACCATAAGACATATTGAGCTCACTACTAACAAACATATGGATAAAAGTAATCTCCCAACCATAAACCTTAGAGGAGTAGGGATAGTTCTGCTAAATTTGTAAATAAACAACTCGTTTTTAGTGCTTTCCAGACTATTCATGCCTTCCACGGTTAATTCCAGATTCATACCTCAACATTCAGCTGCAGAAAGGATACAGTTTGATCCGATTGCTGTAATTCACTAAGTGCTCAACACAAGTGCTGTGACATTTATCACTGCATTAATCGTTGGGTTTTTGAAGTTTACCTTCAAACAGTTGATCAGCTGAAGATCAGCTGAACAGTCCTAGTCTTAAGCTTTCCAAAAACCCACTCCAACAATATGCAACTCACAGAAACAACGCAAGCTAACTGCTCTCTGTGTGACATCATTTCAATCCTTATTATTCAGTACTCTTGCCATTCACTGCCTTGTCTGCCCTTAGAACTGCACATGCCTTGGCTGAGGCCTGACAGGCTCGAACAGCATGAGCAAAGAGAAGGAGCAGTCTGTTCCTCCTGCAGAACAATGCCATTTAAAGGCCGTGGGAGCTTTCCCTGAGCGCAAGCAACTAAGCAGGGAGCTGCTAACTGCACCTCTGAGCACTTAGAAGCTCTTACTTGGTTCGTTTAATATTAAGAAAGATTTGCATTCAGAGTGAGAACAACACGATCTAGTTGTTAGCATACACAACAAGTGCAACCAGTAGTCAGATTAAGGCAGAATGTTTACAGACTTCTCAAAATGCTGCTGAAAAAACATTCAAACCAACAAGCCTGATTATGTTTGCCCAGAATAAATGATTACAAAAATGGGAGTGGCGTCCAAAAAAAGCACAAACTTTCAAGCCCAGATTTTCAACAGAAAACATTTACTTTTGGATTGTTTTGGGTCGTGTGATAAAGCATTTCTGTAAAAGGCAAGCAGAAGTCAAGCCTGAACCTTTCATAAGCTGCCTAGAAGTGTGATAGCATTATCACCTGTATTTCGCAGAAGCTAAGAGGAACTTCCAAATACCTCAATAGCCTTGCTCTGTAAGAGATCTTCTACCAGTTCTGTTTTCATACTCCCTTCTTCCTTGTAGCACGTCTTAGCTACATGTTCACATAGATCTTCATTCCAGGCTTTGTGCCTTGTGTTAGCTTTAAGGAGGAGAATTTAACATTAATAAAAACACAATTATGAAAGAGAGAACAGGTTCTAGAGGCTTTCGAGTACTTAGAAGCAGTGAAATATTTTAATTCATGCACTGATACAAATTTCTAATGCTTGACAAAATGAACTCAACTACTGGTACTCCTAGACAGTATCAGCTGCTTCTGAGCATTAACACTTACCAGCTATTTGAAATAAACATTGTCATAGTAGGAGCTGTTTCTCGGCACAGTAAGTAGAAAAAAATATTACTTGATTAAACTCTGTGTTTAATGTCAGTCTTCAGAAATAACAAGCAATGTAACTGCACCTACATTCTGAGCTGAAATAAGCCCAAAACACAGACTGCCCATGGTCTGCTTCACAGCACTGACTCTGACCTCACATTTATAGATAGAATATAAATATATAAGATACATGCATAGTGTGTGTCCATCCCTTTCCACTTAGGCCTAAATAGTTTTTATAGCACACAACAATCACCACTTCATCACAACATATATTGGAAAGAACAACAACTGCCTACGGTCTTTCGGCGTAAAAGTTTATTTACTTAGCACATTAAATGCTTTATGATTAAATCATGCAAACAGATTACAAAAACAAATGACTTCAAATACAACTGCACATTTAAAATTCACTTAGACTTTTTCTACTTTGAGATTGAAAGTTAAGGGTAATCTATCAACCAAAGATAAAGCTATGCATAAATAAATGTGTTGATGTCTTCAAGATAAAATAATCAGTGAAAACAGTATTTTTAATAGATATATCTGTACAAAGAATACAGACCAATCACTCTCCTTCAGAGTCTGATCCATTCATTTGATATAAAGCCACAAATATTATAAATCTGCATACTATTAAAGCACAGCAGCCAGTCTGCCCACAGTGTAAGATCCCTACTTACATACTGCAGTGTAGGACCACGTTGTTTGAAAAAAAATATATGATTTCAAAGATTAAGAGGTTTAATTATACAACCTCCAATGGAAGTGTATAATGGCAAGTTGCACAAGTAAATCCCCACTGAATATTACAAAAGGTCATTAGCCAAAATTCCAAATATAAAGGCCTGACTTTCAGGTCAAAAATACACAATCAGCTAACATGTCTACTTTCGTGCATGCAAATGACTCAATAAACAATTTTTGTGTCTGTGCACCTCTTGGTAGTTTTAAAAGTAACTGCTCATGTGAAGAATCACACAGCTGCACAGGGTTCGAGTTCAAAGTAACCACAGCCCTACCCTCACAAAGTCTACATCACAGCAGTTCTCCAGATGACTGAATGACTTTCTCATTTCCCTAACTTCAGAAGAAAAGAAATTCATAATTTACAGCGCAAGTAGAACAACCAGAATACAAATGAGAACACTGTTATAGGCTGCAAGAGCTAAGCTTTGCATCTCCTGACACCGATTCTCTCAAAACAATATAAGAATATTTACATAAGAATTAGAATATAAATAATTATACTACACCATGAAACCCTCGAAACAGAATATACAAAACTTATAATACAGCATTAATTATCCGTCAACCTATCAAACAGAATACCTTAATGTTAATACAGCTTGGAAGGTAAACATAACCTACAGGTTAAGTTTTCACATGGCTGTTTGTCAGTGCAGCATAAAACATTTCCATAGTGCAATCTTACAATTGTGTTAAATACACTCTCCCCTCCAGAAAAATGCTTCTCCTCCCTCCCCCCCGCCATAAAACACTGAGGAGTCACTGTGATAGCTCGTATCTCATACACAGCATTGTTTGAAACATAATAACAAAGGGAAGCTCAATTTAACACTGAGAAGGGATTAAACAATGCTGAGAAATTAAAACAAGATATGCTATAGCTGGAAGACACGAAACCTAAAAATCTGATCTATGGAAGTGGAAGAATGAAGACATTGATCCTTCTTTTTTTCATCTACTGAAAACATTGTATGATAATACAGCACATACTCCATTCTGTTAGCAACAACTCTAAGATTACTTTAATTGCTGGAGAATCACAGTGTTAAGTATATCTGCTTCTCGTAGTGTCAGGCTTTCATCTGTTAGCTCTTTATTTGGAAAGGTCGTCACAAGAACAAAATCAGTCGTTGCAAATGCTGGACGGGACTGGATAATGAAATCTCGAATATCTTTAATCCTGTGGAAGGGATAGGACATGAAAGCTGTGTATGATTCCATTCCAATCTGAATCTCTGAAGACAACACAATCTTCTAACAGATTGAAAAACTGTTTAGTATGTCCTATTGGTTTTACTTTTCAATTTCATCCATAGTGCTATGGGTTGCAGCCTAGAAATATTTTACTTCTTATAGGCAAAACCTGAAGAATTAATTTTAATGCCTCTTGTTTTCTCAAATAAGAGAAATAAAAGTATTAACATAGAAGTGCATTGTAAACTGATATTTAACATAAGAAGTCAAGTAATTTCAATTCCAATTGTAAAAAAAAAAAACAACAACCCTATATTAATTAGTATACACCAAAAAGGTTAAAATAATAATGGAAGGAAAGATCTTACAACATATGGTGATGAGAAAGCAGAGGGGAATTATTAATGCACCTCAATAGCAAGTAGGTTTCCCCTCTTTTCACTTAGTGAACTAACAAACAACGATTCATGAAACAGACACAGCATAGCAAATACAATTTAGTTTTAATAATTTAGTTTTATAAGACATGGATGAAAGTAAGATTTTTAGAGATAAAAACAACTCAGCAATAAAACATCTTTGAAGGTCTACTGAACGATAAGTAGGTAGATTTACTGTAACCAAATAAGCAGGGACTTTAACTTTCTATCTTCAAGGCTTATGATGCAAGCAATGCATTTCAGGAAGCCATTTTGATCATGTGTCAGCAAAAATAACTAAGAGAACACTAGTAATTATTGAATAAGCTTCTGTCAACACAGCCATTCTTACAGATGTGACTGGGAATTTACCACTTCTACCCTTCAATGCAGAGAACATAAAGCATCATGATTACAGAGCCTCTCTAGCAGCCATACTGTTAAGTAATTTCTCCAACTGGTGCTGGGAAGGAAGAGCCTGGGCTGGTACTATCAAGCGTAGTAAGTATGAGACATTATTGCTGAAACTTCTTGTCTATTGGCATCTCAGCTAAAATTACCTTCTTGTAGTCTATGTATTTTGTCAGGTGAAGAAAGCCGCACATTGGCTCTGGCCTTATTCTGAGACAGAAATGGAAGAAGAAGAAAGAGAACAGGTGGACTCTTAAAGCCATATAACAGCTCTACAAAGAAACTGAGTCCACACTAAAATACTAAGATCACCTTCAAGGCAAGATTCAAGCCCAGTTTCAGCTGTGTTCTAACACAACACTGCAGATTTTGGAGTGGGCTAACTTGAGCCTTGCTTGCTGTCAAGCATGGGTAGAACCACTACCCAAATCTCTGCCTCCTGCTCAAAGTTCTCTCAGCCACGTAGAACAGCAAGTGCAAAGCATAACTTCGCAGAACTTTGCTCTAAAACAATCTCTTAGACAAATAAATGAGGTTGGCCAACACCATTTGTGATAATGCCCCAACAATGTCAATAAAAGTGATGGCAAGCTCCAAACAACAGCCTACTAAGTTGACTGGAGCAGATGGACACTGAATAAGGAGGAAAAGACCGAGGCATTTAACACCTCGACATTTAATAGCGATGATAGATTGTGGGGTGCCTGGACTCCAGAGTTGGAAGACCCTGACTTTACATCTGTAGTCAGTGGAATTGTAAGGGAACAACTGTATTAGCTCAACATTCCTAAGCCCACAGAGCCAGGCAGGATTCATTCCAGAGCACTGAAGGAATTAGATGCTACAGTTGGACTTCTCTCAGAATTTTAAGTGAGGTCATGGAAGTCAGGAGAAGTCCCTTCTGAATGGAAACTAGCCAATGTAACATCCATCGACAAAAAGGGCATGAGAGAAGACTTAAGAAACTACAACCTATTGATCTAATCTCAGTCCCCCAAAGACTTACAGAGAAGACTGTCCTGTGGGACATTGAAAGGCACTTAACAAAAATACTATCAGGGATAGTCAACACCAGTTCATCAAGGGAAGCCAGTGGATACAATCTTTTTGGATTTCACTAATACCTTTCATACTGCTCCCCATGGCATCCTTCTGGACAAGTTGACCAATTCTGAGATAAACAGTTTCACACCATGCTGGTTGATGAACTGGTTTGATGGTAGCATGCACAGGGTTGTAGTGAATGGAGCTGCAAGCTGGCAGACGGTCACCAGCGGTGTTCCCCAGGGCTCCATTCTACAGTCTGCTCAACATTTTGATCAATGATCTGGATGCAGGACTGGAGTGTATCCTCAGAAGTTAGCTGATGATGCTAAACTGAGAGGGATGAGAGGCCTTCCAGAGGGTTTTAGAGAGACTGGAGCACTGAGCAATTAGCAACTGCTGGCCCTTTTCCCCCTGGTAACCGTTCACAGGACCTGTAGGAACAGCACAAAGCTGTGCCAGGGGAGATTCAAACCTGTCATAAGGAGAAAGTTCCTCACTGTGAAGGTCATCATACACTGGAACAGGCTTACTAAAGAGGTTGTTGATGACCCATATCTCCTCCAGCATTCCAGACACTTTTGGATAATGCCTTCAACAATATGTTTAACTTTTGGGCAGCCCCAAAAGAGGTCAGGCAGTTTAACTATATGATCTTTGAATGTCCCTTCCTACCGACCTATTCTGTTCTAATGAATCTAAACACTCACCAAGTTTCACACGCTGCCCATCCCTAGGAGACAACCATCCATTGTTTGTCAGCACTAGCCCAGCCACACAGCAGAACTGAAATGAGTATAGTGTGACTATATACCCTTCTGACTACAGGAATCAGCCTACACTTACAAACCATATCTTTTCAGTCATAGTTTAGGCAGCTTCAAGTACAGTGAAACAGAAAGCTGGAGCTCCAGATTATAGGAGCAACCCTGCCTATACCGTGGAATACCTTATCTCCATAACACCTTAGAACAAAGTGCCTTCACAGAGTCATCCAAGTCAGTCACTGGCTTCTCCCACGATGAGCTCCGGGTTGGGATGACTACACTGAAAGGTTGTCCAGAGGCCAGCTTCCTCAGGAATAGTAAGGGGATCTTATACCTACACAGACACTGATTATGGCTGGTACTGAGTCTTTACAAGTCACAGGACATCACAAGTCAGGAAAGTTTGTGACTTTGCAATTACCAAATATCCTGTGTTTTTAATTACAGAGTTTTGCTCTGATGGTCAATTTATCAATACATCTTCGTCTATGAAAACAATGCAGATCTGTGATATTCTGGTGGAATTTTATTTCCCCCTTTTTGGTGTCTTGCTGATATTCATTCGATGATAAAGCACAAACCTACCAAAATAGTTATTGTCACCTGTACTGAATCACAGAATCACGGAGTGATTAATGAAGAATTAATTATTGATGTAAAATTAATTTACCTGTGTGTTTGATTAAATCTTTGTATTAATCGGCTTCCATCAGCTAATCTGATTTGAATTTTAGTTGCTGGAACAGAGTCATCAATCAGAACAGGTGCATTAAGAATGGATTTGTCCTCCTCCTCTGGAGATGAAGGTGTGCTGACTATTTCAGGTGTAAGACTAGACAAGTGAAAAAAAAACAAAACAAAATAAACAATACTTATATAATTTCTTTTCAAAGACTAAAATTCCACATATATTTTTTCTGTAACTGCGTAGATCCTTACCTTTACCTGCTATTAAATAGGTAATCAGGTACAAACTGAAATATCTGAACTGAAATATTATGCATACAGAACATGAAATGACAGTCTCTGGAACTAGGATTCCCATGTCATAACTCATGGACTGAATTTCAAAAGAATCACACACCATTATATTGTACTAACTGTCCCGAACTAGAGATTTAGAAATTGCTGTCATGAGCAATGTTTTACAATTCTGGGTACACCCCACCTTTTTAGAGCACAAATGATATCAGCAGATAATTGGCAACACTGCATAGAAAGCTTGCATTCTTTGTCCTGCACAGCATACAAATAAGACAAATCTGATTGGAGATAACTATTTGGCTCCTTTCTTTCACTGCTTAAATAGCTAAGACTGCACAAGATACCAAAACAAAAAAATTCTAAAATGGGTGTGTACATTCTTCTATATACAACCTCTCTTCTCCACCTGTTTTTGTGCTGTATTTCTTTAAGTAGCCCAAGAAAGTGCTCAGGTGAAGATGCTACTGTACAAAATCGTTCGCAGCATTACTCCTATTTCTCACCTTTTTATTTCTTGTGAGCATATTTCCTGATTAAAAAAAAAAAAAACAAACATAGGATACATACATACAGTTTGGAAACTGCTAAGAAGCATTTAGTGAATTACAAAGAATCATAGAATTGCTCAGGTTGGAAGACCTTAAAAATCATCAAATCCAACCACAACCTAATCAAACTACCCTAACTCTAACAGCCCTCTGCTACATCATGTCCCTGAGCACCACATCCAAAAGGTTTTTAAACACATCCAGGGATGGTGACTCAACCACCTCCCTGGAGAGCCTATTCCAGTGCTTAACAGCCCTTTCTGAAGTTTTCCTGATATCCAACCTAAATCTCCTGTGGTGCAACTTGAGGCCATTTCCCCTCATCCTGTCACCTGCCACCAGTGAGAAGAGACCAGTCCTGCTCTCGCTGCGATCACCTTTCAGGTATTGGAAGAGAGCAATAAGGTATCCCCCCTCAGCCATTTCTTCCCCAGCATTAAGTACAACGGCATACTGTTAGTATCTTTTTTGGAAAACAAATATATCAGATGAATAGACATAATCATAATTAGAAGCCTAGGAATACGCACAACTCAACAGCTCATACCAAATCAGTGGGAGAAGATGCTATAAAAGTGATAATTGTTATGTAAAAAGCCTGCTCACTGGCAGAATTGTCACTTAACTGTTTACTATGATAGTAATTTAATCTGAACAGAGATGATGCATATCTGACCAAAGGAGACATTCCAAACACAGGAATGACTTCTGCATTATTATGTACCAGTTCCACTGGTAGAAAAATGTATATATACGCACAAAGTTATACATAAGAATAGGCAGAGAAATCTTGTATTTACAACAAACATCTAGCAGGTTTAAGAGCAGGTCCAGGACACAGAAGTAAGACTTGCCTTTTAGTAAGATTATATATAAGCTTCCACGGTTACAAGTGACTATAAAATCAGGGCTGGGACCTTGAAATCAAGGTAGCACAAAATGATTTCATATTGCTTTCATCACCTGATTAGTTCTCCAAAAGCCTCCTAACTGATTCAATCCAGCTTTTGGCATGACATACGGACACAGAAAACTCTGATTTTTACCTTCCGAGTTTCTGCCCTTCTCCACTGAAGGCTTTGAATCGCAGTCTTGGCTTCACATATTCCTGCTCCTGGTGGTCTTCCATATCCAGGTTAACCTGGCCACCATGAACAAGTCGCTGCAGTTCCACAGGAATTTCCCTTAATACAAAACAAGGCTCTCAGTTACACTCTACTGCAATGAAGAATTACACAAATATCTTACACAGCACAAGTTCATGCTTGTGCTCTGCTTACTTTAACAGTTGTAGGTGCCCAATTGTTTTACAAATTGATTTCATCTCAAAATGACAGATAAAATGAAAAATTAAAATGAAGAAAAAAGATCAGCCTAGAAATCACTAACAAAATACACGGAACTAACAGCCTATATGAGTAAGAACCCAAAAAACTTCAAATTTTGAAGTACTCTGTGCATCTGATGACAAATACGGAACTCATTTTATGGGTGCAAACATCGCAGAAATCTTGAGTTTTTAATAATTTCAATCGTTTTGAGAAAGCAGTTTTTTTCCTCACTTCACTTAAAGGATGTGCCTCAATAAAATTGCTATTTTAACTCACCCTCTTTTAACAGACTCAAGAAACTGAGCATTTATTGGGTCTGAATAGGATCTCAATTCTCCGTCATCTAAACTGAAGCCATTCCTCCACAGTTTCAGCAAGATTTGAACCTGAGGGAAAAACATTGAAGTTCCAGAAAGTGAGGATACACAAGTAAGGTATTTCAGTTTCCTACAGATTACCATTCATTCCAAGACCATTTTTACATTTTTAATAAAGAACCTCTTATTAATCTGTTATTTGTGACATACAGATAATATGCAATGACTTCATAATGAGCTTGACAGTGTTTCAACTACTTTTAAAAGCAGTAAACACTTCTTAATAAATCAAGAAATAAATGAATACATTCACAAAATATTGCTGATATACCAGTTAAAGCTATAATTGCTATTTCCTCAAATTGTTTAACTGCAGTTAAAGTTGATACTGGCTCTACCCTGTTTAAATTCTGAGCATTGCATCCTGGACACCAGCTTCCTTCACTCCCCTCTGTTTTTGCTGCCTGCACATAGCACCAGCCAAAGCCTGTATCACTGGAGACACTGCAGCTCTCAGAAGTCTGCACTTCTCTTTCCTGCAACTAACAAGATCCCAGCAAGATCAGGCTTTCCAGTAAAACTGTGCTTAGAAAACTAGCCCTATCTCAAATAATGGTAACCCCACTGCAATGTGCTTCTGGCTCAGCAGAGCAGGCTATTACTTAACAAGCAGAAGGATTACTTAAGAAGAAAGAAGGCATCATTTCCTGGCATGCCATGCCATAAGTTCCCAACCTAAACCACATCCTTTAGCTTCTCTCATTTTTCCTGTCTTGATGAGCCTAATATCAACTGTAGCCACTCATCTGAACAGGAAGGTATAGAAGACTTTGTATTTTTGACTCTCCCTCACTTTCACACAATGACGTGATCCTGAGCAAAATAAATCTGACAAGGAGAAAGGGAGAAAAAGATTAGCTTTTAACCTGGATCATCTCCCTGATCCAACTTACCGCTTCTGCTGGCTTGTGGGAACAAGAGGCTGGACTAGACTGTCTTCCAGTCTAACACCTTAGGCTTTGTTTTGTTTTTTTAAACATTATGAGACTAGCAGTATAATAACCTTTGTTTCTTTCTTACTAGTAAGTGGAAGAATTTAAGCTGCATCTAAGACACAGGGAAAAGACGACTGAAACTCATGCTCAGACTGAAAAACTGGCAAATAAAAGCTTTTGATGTTTCCACTATCTTCATATTATCAGCTAGGATGAATTTAAACTGTATAAGGAAGAAAATGAGGAATAATTTAAAAGAAAAGATGACCTGATTTTTCCCACATTCGATCTTGAGTCAGAGTAGACTATTCCACAAATTGTGTCAAGTACAGCAAAGAAGTGTCAAGATGAGAAGATGTGAGTAACCTGCATAGAGAGGATTTACAAAACCAGCTATTTATAATTTGTGCAACAGAATGGTTTAATAAATTTCAGCCACTCACATGAAAGCACGCAAAAGATGACTGCAAACATGGACAAAACTTTTCTTTTTCCTCCTCACTCTGTTTCTCAAGTAGTAAAATCAGCACTTTCCCAGCTGTGGGTGGGCACACTGTGTCTAACTTGAGCCTTCTTTCCCACTAGTTAGTTTGCTATAAAGGAAAACCATGCATTTTCCACCATACTGAAAATAATTTGCAAAGAGAACTCTAGCACAAATTGTACACAGATTATATAAAAAACTATTAAGACACAGTGAACTGAATATTATTATTAAAGAAGAAAGGGATTCTTTTCGCTTATCTATTCTCAGAAATAACCATGCCTCAAGTTAGCATCAAAATTTAAGACAGTCTGGAACTTGAATCGTGTCTAGAGAAAACTAATTTCCATTAACAAAAAATAAATACTTCAGAGGTATTAACATAACTATCTTTTATATTTTGAATTAATTTTGTTTTCAAGCATTTTCCATCAAAAAAAGCAAAGGCTGACATTCACAGAACTGCCACTACGCTCAAATCCGTTTTCAGCTAGTTAACAGGCAGGATGAGAAAACTGCTTGGTTTCAAAATCACTAACGTGCTCAAGTAAATCTGCAACAGAGTTTAAGCATGTCTGTGGTAGCTCAGATGCATTTTGGGGAAAAAGTCTTTGGTTAAGACCTGCTTACCATAAGAAATGAAACAAATTTGCCAAATGATTACTTGTTAGTCAGCCTCACCCCTCAATTCCTGGGAAAAGACTGGAGCATCTAAACCCGGAAATCATTTTCCAGGCATAGGAAAGAAATCAAATTCATCATGAGCAGCCAGCACAGACTGACCAACTAGAAGCTGTGTTTGACCAAATTCTGTAATGAAGTGACTGGTCTGGTAGATGAGGGGAGAACAGTCAGCATTGCCCACCTGGAGATCCTCACAGAGGGGCTGTCAAAGTTTGGGCTGGATGAGCAAACAATGAGGTGGACTGAAAACTAGCTGGACAGATAGGCCCAGAGGTGGCAATGAGTGGAACAGTCTATTGGAGGCTAGTAACTAACAGTGTACTCCACAGGCCAATAGTGGGTTTAGTCCTGTCTTAGAATCTTCGTTAGTGATCTCACCAACAGAACAGAGTATACCCTCAGCAAGTTCAAAGATGACACAAAACTGGGAGGAGTAGCTGATACACCAGAGGATCATGCTGGCATTCCCAGACACCTCAACAGACTGGAAAAAGGGCTCACAGGAACCTCATCAAGTTCAAAAGCTGGAAAGCAGCTTGGCAGAACCTTAGAGGACACCAAGTAGAACATGATCCAACAATACACCCTTGCACCAAAGGCAGCTAATGGTATCCTGGACTGTATTAGGCAAAGCTTTGCCAGCAGGTGGCTGGGAGGCCACATCTATAGCACTGTGGCCAGTTTCGGGCTCCCCAGTACAAGAAAGACACAAATGTAATGGAGAATGTCCAGCAAAGGGTCACAGAGATGAAGGGAATGGAGCATCCTCTCCTACGTGGAAAGTCTGACACTGAGATGGGCTTGTTCAGCCTAAGGAAGCAAAAGCTCAGGGAGATTTCATCAGTCTGTAAATACCTGAAGGTGCAAATAAGACAGAGTCAGGCTGCGTATGCTGGTGCCCAGTGCCAGGACAAGAGCCAGTGGGCACAAACTAGAATACAGGAGGTTTGCTCTGAACATCAGGAAGCATTTCTTTGCTTTGCAGGTTTCTGAGCAATAGAACATTCCACCTAGAGAGGTTATGGAATCTCCTCCTTAGAGATCTTCAAAAGCTGCCTGAACATGGCATCCTGGGCAACAGGCTGTAGGCGTACCTCCTTGAGCAGAAGCTTTGGACCAGGTGACCTGAATGAAGACATTCCCAGTCTCAACTATTCTGTGAAGTCATGGATAACTTATCACCCTGCTAACTGCATTCAAGTCATAATCAAGGCAATCACTCCCCACAGTTTTGAAGAAATCCTTCATTTTTCCAGCTTTCCTACATTTCAACTATCTGCATGGTCTTAACACTAGGGAAAAGGTAACTGGCAAAATAAAGTTGTGGTATCATTTAACATACAGACAACTCGCTTTTCTAAATTATGAACTACCCAAAAATCATTATTTTATTATTATTATTTTACCAAGCATGGTAGAGATAGTCAGGTGGTAGGTATCTACTAGTAACTGTCACTCCCAGTATGTGTACAGAGCAAAAAATATTAAACACTAATTATAAATCACTAATTACCAAAGGATTTTAATTAACCCAGATCAGTTCTGTGAATGCCTACAGGTCTCTTCTCTGCTTTTAATTCTAACCTCTGCTTCACAACTCAGCTCAGGAGGTCAGAATGCTCCCAGCAACTCAAGTTCCCAAAGTTGCACACGGTCACCCAGTCCTCTTATCAAGCATATCCATAACACAGCCCTTAATGGTATCTACTAAATAAATATTTTTCCTCTAGGAACACTTTCAATTAATTTCTACTGAATACATTTCTAATATTTAGATATTTGTCCTTCTTCATAGATAACTGCAGTAATATTGGTATTTTAAGCTGTAGACACAGTAAAGGCAGGCAACAATCAGGGACACTGTTTATGGCTATTCAGAATTGTACTTACATCTTGATTTTCTCCATATATATATTCAGAGTGCTTTTGAGACGAGTCACCCAATCTATATCCACCACCAGAAAATGACTGAAAAATAGACAAAGTAAAGCTCCTTGAAAAGATATCTGAAACAGTTTATTAAATTTATCAAGGTACAATTAAAAACAACAGCAAGCTTGCTTCCATGATAAAGAGCAAACAATTCTAACTTAAGATTTTCTGTTTAGAAATTATACATCTAGTGATTTGTATAGGATTAATATTAGTTTCTAGTCTGTACACTTTTTCAAACATAAGTAATTCAAACCAGACATTTTGATGACTGCAGATGATTTTTAAAAATCAACTTAATAAAAAATGAAGCAAATAATCCCAGTTCAAGCTGATTCCTAACAAAACTTCCCACACAACATGTGCAAGACAAGCAAGGGATCAGGCCCAGCCAGCATGGGTTCATGAAAGGCAAGTTCTGCTTGACCAACCTCATCTCCATCAACGATCGAGTGACCCACCTGGTAGACCAGGGAAAGGCTGCTGATGTAGTTTACCTAGACTTCAGCAAAGCCTTTGACACTGTCTCCCACAGTATTCTCCTGGAGAAGCTGGCATTGGCTAAGGTCAATGGCACGGAGTTCAACTAGACCAAGTCCTACTTTGGCCACAACAACCCCAGGCAACGCTACAGACTTGAGTGTGGAAGAAACGGACCTGAGGGTGTTGGTCAACGCCCTGCTAAACAAGGCAGCCGTGTGCCCAGGTGGCCAAGAAGGCCAATGGCATCCTCACTTGTATCAGAAATAGTGCAGCCAGCAGGAGCAGGGAAGTGATCATCCCTCCGTACTCAACTCTGGTGAGGCTGCACCTTGAGTACTGTGTTCAGTTTTGGGCCCCTCACTATAAGAAAGACATTGAGGCCATGGAGCATGTCCAGAGTAGGGCAACAAAGCCCTGCAGGGTCTGGAGCACAAGTTATATGGGAAGCAGCTGAAGAAACCAGGATTATTCCACCTGGAGAAGAGGAGTCTCAGGGGAGACCTTATCACTCTCTACAACTCCCTGAAGGGAAGTTGTGGCAAGGGGGGGGAGGGGGTCAGCCTATTCTCCCATGTAACTAGTGATAGGACGAGAGGGAATGGCCATAAGGTGCACCAAGGGAGGTTCAGGTTGGATATTAGGAAAAATTTCATCTCAGAACAAGAGTTCAGGAGTTGGAATGGGCTGCCCAGGGAGGAGGTTGAGTCACCATCACTGTAGGCATTCAGGAAACATTTAGATGTACTAAAGGACGTGGTTTAGTGGGGAAATATTGGTGGTAGGTTGGACTGGATGACCTGTGAGGTCTTTTCCAACCTCGGCGATTCTATGATTCCCTGAAATTGCATTGTATCCCATCACTTTCTAGAACAAGCTACTGAGCACATATAATACACAAATGCATTGATGAAATCCTCTGTTATATGCAAACCACAGAAAGACATTTGCTTTCATGTGATTATGTGAGTTTTGAAGAGTCTGATATAAAAAGAGATCAAAATACCTTTGGACTTTTACCTTAGCTTTATTGAAGTCACCAGATGCTCTTGAGGCTTCATCTAGTGGTACAGCCCCGTGTTCTTTTGCTTCTTTGAAGAGTTCAGCAACAATTTTACTTGGATTGTTAGAAGCCCCAGAAATTTGTAATCCTCTGTATTCTGAGTCACCTGAATAAAATCTTTAGAATAGTAACATTCATAAGCAACAATGCTTTAAAACTCTTCCCATTAGTGAAAGTAAGTCAATGAAAAATGCATTTTCAAAAACAGGGTGGAGCAATGTCAGAAAAAATAACAAGTACTTCCACAATTGTTAAATGAGGTTTTTGTTTTTAAAATACCTTTGGTTTTCTTTGTCATCACTCATGCTTCTCTCCGGTTTTCTCAAACTTCTAAAAGAATCTATTTTAAGACTGTTGAGAAAAATGAAAGAACATTCATGAAGATGACTGGCACACACAAACTAAGGAAGGACATATTTTTGTTTTTACCATTTTTTAAACAAGACAATTTTATTTCTAAGCCAGACAAAACGCTCCAGAAGATCCACCTTGATGATAAGCTTATCTTCTCATCATAGCTGTTTGTCCAAGGTATACAGATGCTTAATACTGAGTAAGCCTGAAGTGGAATTCTGCTGGCAGTCTCAGAGATAATAAAGGTAATATTACAAGCTGAACATCAATTGGAGAATCCTGTTTAGCAGTATTAACTTCACTTCCAATTCTTCACACATTTTAGCTGATTTTGTTGCCTAGTGAAGCCACTGCTGGCACTTTCTTTGATGTCTTGGTATTCCTGTCTATGACTATCCCAGAAACAAAGTAGTAGTAGTTTTCACTTCTATCCTGCATGATCTTAGAAACATATTGAATGGCATTGTTGAAAAGACTTTAAAAAGAGAATTAAACTGGCATTTAATAATGTCTTAGAACAAGGACCAGTTGGTAAGCTACCAGAAGACAAACGACGTTGTTAGTTTGCAATATGCCAGGAAGAGCTGTACAGATGTAAACCCTCATCCTGGAGTATTTCACAGTAAAATTCATCAATGCAAGATCTGCGTAAAGCAGCCGAGCTCATAGGCAGGATAAGAACACAACAGTCCACTATGTGGCAGTTTGTTAGTTCAGGCTTATGAAACGTTTCACCACAATACATTTCAAATCAAAATATAGTGGAGCAGGACATCACGTTTTTAAGTACTGGTGTTAAAACAAGGTGATTCTACAGCTCCAAGAAGGCTCTGCTTCTTATTTTCTTCTCAGAAAAAAAGCCACCAAACAAAGGTATTGCTACAAACTTGGGTCATGGGCACTAGAAGCTCTTTCATGGTGTTATTCTGCTATTCTTATTCTCTTCTGTTTTCTTCCTTTGACACACTCTGGGCTTTGTACTTTTATGCCAACTGTCCTAAATTTGGTGAAGGTCCTAGAGATTATATAACACGATGGCATAATTCAGCAGGGCCCACAGACATCTTCTATACCTGCAACTGCGCAGACAAGTAGATGACTTCAAGAGAAGCATTATGTTTCCTTATAATTAACACTGCTCATTTAAAAGGCAACTGAATTATATATATACATATATATCATTTTGGATACCATGCAAATAGCAGAACTGCAGCCATTTTCCACTTCAGATTCCAGCATGACTGCCAACAAAGAGCAAATGCTTGCCAATATCAGTCACACTAAATATTTGAGACACTGTATTGCAGCTTTTTCTTCACCTGGAACAGGAAGCTGCAACTTCATGACAGGTACTGGTAAATAGAGCTGTTTGTTTAACTTGTGTATAAATTCTGTTCTACATAACTGATCTTAGGCAGTTTTATCCAAGAAACCCAAACTATTATTCTGCAATTTTCTCATCTGGTGCTAAATTCCCTCTTCCTAAGGATCTGCATTTGCAAATGGAAATGCATCTGCTCAAGGTGTAGTGTGCTGACTAAGCTCTTTTTCTGCTATTTGACCTCTTCTGAAATGGAGATTCATATTGGCAGCAGAGAAGGAAAGAGAAGCCAAATACAATCCTTGTTATGGCATCATTGACAGTGATGATTTAAAGACTTCTTTAGAACAATTTAAAGAACAATTAATTAAGAACTGGCAAGGTGAATTTATAAAAGTTTTAAAGCTATATTGAATCTTCAACCCCCATGTGAACTGAAAACACTACAGGACAGCAAAACCTGGCTTTACATCTACAAAGATGTCTTCTATCCACCCAGCACCACCAAACAACTTAATTACAAAGTCATCCTAATTTCTCTCACCTCCTATAAACCCACTACTCATTTATCTGGCTAGTTACTCAAGTAATACTGACCTAAACAGAAGACTCAGAGCAGCTCTCATCAAGTTTCACACAAACTACTGATTTGCTGAATTCTGAAGAAGGAAAGAACTGCAGTATTTTTCTGACACAGCAATTACCTGAGTTCTATCTCTGCAGAAAAAAAAAAACACAAGCAACACCGCATTTCACTTGGAGCATCTTAATCTTATCTTAAGTGAAGTGGGTTTAAAGCACTTTGGAACAGCATGTAACACAACAGCTCCCAGATCAGTATGACTAAAAAAGCATTCTAAGACATGAACTATGTACTATTACAGGGATTCCAAACTTTTGACTATGAACTGCTGTAGAGCACTGTCTGTACAAAAAGAAGACAAAGTAACTATGACGACAACATTTTGTTAGCTAATACAGCACCTATTTGACACATGTCTGAAGAACAAAGCGTCCCTTACCCCTTTGAGTTACTCATCTTTGTTGTCGTTGGTTTGTCAGGATGCAATGACTGCCTTTTAGCTTCATCTTCATATAACTCTGCCAAGGCCAACTGTTGGAAACAGTACTCTTTTTAGAGGTCTAGAGATACATATGGAACAGAAATAAGACACACTAATGCTAAATGTGCACGTTATCAGAAAATTAGAGACATCAACATGAGAACTCTCAATTCTCTAAATTCAGCTTCCTTTCTATTTTATGGAAAAAAAAGCAAGAAATACTCAATATGCTCATGCCAGAGTGATGCGATACTTGTACTCCGCTTGCGCTTGGTCCACAGTCTCATTAGTTACCTTCAGCCTACATTAAAGTTTCAGAATACACACACACCTATATATGTTACACATAATCTCTTCAATGCTAATAAACTGAAATAAAGTTGTTAAGAATCCCTCTGATAAAACTGGGAAGCAAATAAATTTTACAACATAGAAATGGAAAAATACAATGCAAGTGAAGTACGTACTGGGATTAAGACAGAAACAGCCTAACTGGCTGGCAAATATCATTGCAAATATTTCTATTAAGAAACTTTACCACACGGGCTGCCATATCAATGGAAAGTTCTTTTTCAGGAAACAGTGGGAGGCACATCTAACACACCATTTTTTAGCAACTTACTTTTGCCCTGAATAGCATACTACGTTGTTTTGTAAGTTTTCCTTAATTTAATACACGATATCAAGTCGCAGGCGCAAGGACCATAAGCACATGCTAAGGAGGACCCAGGAAAGAGAGACTACCAACTAACTTCAGATACACCCCTGTACTCAAAGGCCCTAAGGGGTATGGCCCCACCAAGAGCCCCGCGCTCAGCCCTGCCCCCTCACGGCCACCCCTGAGTCAAAGCTCCGCCCCGCTGAGGGTCCGGGACGCCCCTCCCCGCCCTCTCGCCTGCAAATCTCTCGCGCTGGGCGGGCGGCCGCCGCCACGGTGCTGCCGCTCCCTCCGGACACCCGGGCCGGCCGCCGACATTTCCCCTTCCTGCTGAGCGGGAGCTGCTTCGCCGTCCGCCATCTTCTGAGGGCGGCAACCCCTCCCGCGGGTCGCCTTGGGCGGGGCCGGCGCCGCGCGGCACTTCCGGTTGCCATGGCAACAGAGCGGCCCCGCCCACCGGGCTGTTTCCGTGGAGACGGATGGAGGCTCGTCGCCATCGGAGAGAGCCTGGGTGGCAGGCTTCGTGTCTGTGTGCCTATCCGTGACCTCTCCTCCTCCTTGCAGAGGCAAAGCAAAGCTGCATGCATAAGCAAAGCAAAATAAATTCTTCATTCACAACTTCCCGTTGGTGGGCAGATGTTTAGCTGTTTCCAGGAGAGCACTGTTTGATCAGTGCTTCAACTCTTTACAAGGGTAGATAAGGGCAGGACGAGGGGAAATGGTTTTAAGCTGGTGGAGGGAAGATTTAGGTTGGATATCTGGGGAAGTTCTTTACAGAAAGAGTGGTGAGGTGCTGGAACAGGCTGCCCAGAAAGGTTGTGGATGCCCCGTCCCTGGAGGTGTTCAAGGCCAGGTTGGATGGGGCCCTGGGCAGCCTGGTCTGGTGTTAAATGTGGAGGTTTGTGGCCCTGCATGTGGCAGGAGAGTTGGAGATTCATGATCCTTGAGGTCCATTCCAACCCTGGCCATTCTATGATTCTGTGTTCATGTTCAAGGATTCATTAGGAATTCAAACAGCATAAACACAAATGTCCACCTTCCTTTAACCATTGCTTTAACCATAACTTAATCACTGCACACAGTGTTGTCTGGTATGGGATATCCTTTCAGCTGTTTGGGGTCAGCTGTCCTGGCAGTGTCCCCCTCTGACTTCTTGCCCACCCGCAGCCTCCTCACCGACAGGGCAAAATGGGAGGAAAAAAACCTTCGTGCTGTGAATGTGCTGCTGAGTGAGAGCCAAAGCTCAGGTCTGTTGTCGATGCTGCTTTAGTCCCAGATGCAAACACTGCATCTGGGAGCTGCTATGAAGAATATTAATGCAATCTCAGCCAGATGCAGGGCGATGAACCCCTGAAATTTTGTATGAATATTGTATGTCCTAATCTGTACTGAAATAAAACAATGTAATGTACGAGGTAAGACTTGGAATGACCCTAAATACAACTAATGAAGAACAAGTACTATTTGAAAGTGTATGTTTTCTGTTTCCCAAGAATGAACTTAAGAAGAAAAGGAAACAATACAGTAAAAGAATATTTATATAATGAATATATTTTGTATATAATGGAAAACAAGTGTTGGTAGTGGTACAAGTAGAAATCAATAGATTGGTTCCAATTAGATATTTCATTAAGAAGTAGATCCATTGTATATGCACACAAGTAAATCTCTGTGAGGCCAGCTGAGATGACTGGCAGCTGAAGAGTTTTGTAATGCAAATTAGTGAATACGCAAGTGATTGCAGCATGCAGTTGGCTACTTGGGATTTCATCTGAAACTGTGAATTGACAGCTAACATCCAGCATTGACACTAATTATCCAGCATTCACACAAAATGCTCTATTAATCCTCAACTGAAACGAAGGGGGAACTTTCCTTAGCAAGTGATGGTGACCTGTATGCTAAGCTGAGATATTTCTGAAGCATACAGCTGGTTGTGATTCACACTCTGCTGAAATAGCCAGCTAACATTTGTTTTCAAAGCCATTCAAACAAAAACCTACTGCTTTCTCTAGTGAGCCTGTCTAGAGCCTGCTTTCCATAGCTTACACATCAGAAATGCTGGGGGCTGTGGTTAGCAGAGCTCGGGTCACACACAACCTTGTAAGGCAGACTGTGGAACTGTGCACATGTGTTTGTGCCTTCTTAGTAAGCCAGCTCTTCAGTGAGTGCAGACTGGAGGATCTGCTCAGCAGATCACTCTCATGAGTCAGTACTACCTCTATACAGCGGTGTCAGTGTTGTTCTTAGTGAAACCATAGGTGCACGTGATTGCTTTTCCCTGCAGAATCCTTTCAGGTGTTTGACAAAGAAGAACAGCACAACTGAAGGCTGCATATATAATACATTTCACGTTGCTCTCACATTCTCAGCTCTATATGCCAAATCATGTGTGCTTGTACAGAATTTTTGTCCTTACTTAAGGAAAAAAAGTGAATAGAAGTAAGATTCAACTTCACTTGGCTCCTGCACTTGAAGCCTTTGTATGAATATGTCAAGAATAAAAACGCAGTCATGTGCTGTTCCATTCAGTCTTCCCTGGATTCATGAGTAGAGTGCAGCTGTTGTCTAAGGGGAAGTGTCCTGTGGTGATACAGACTGAATTAGCAAAGAGGATGTCTAAACTGTAATTGCATTAAAAAGCCAAATGACTCTATTATTAAATCAGTTGTGGGTTTTTTTATTTGTTTGTTTGCCTTTTTTTTTTTTAAATAAGTGTCTCGTATTTTGACAGGCCTGTCTACCCTAAACATTGGCGTTATTCCCATCTGTCTTTCTCTGTGATTGCCTCCTCTTTGGTTCAGGCTGCCAGCAGCGTTATCAGAGATCACCTGAATACAGATTAACGCATCATTTTTTTTTGTCAGTGAAATTCATGTAATCGCAGACATCTGGAAATTTTAATCTGCCTATCCCACGCAGTCATTTTGATTTTTATAACATTATTATTGTGACCAATGTTTTCTTTCATGGTAATAGATTGAAAACAACTAATCACAATCTATTGTCTTCTAGTTCCTTAAATAAAGTTGTTTCTGTATTTTTCTTTATGTCTTAAATACTCCTCAATTATCCAAGATATTTTTCTCCTGGTTATTAAAACTAACATAATTTTACAGTCTTCTATTTGGAAATAATTCAGGTAATAGACAAGTCTTTTATCTTCAAAATCTCACTGCAGTTGTTGCTGTCCAGAAGTAAATATCTAATTAAAAAATAAGTAAAATAGGTAGTTAAACAAGCCCCTCTTTGATTTTTTGGATGTAACATAAAAGCAAAGAAGAAAAGTTAAGAATAAAGTTACCATGTACATAAGATCAATAGCAATACCTAGAAATATAGTATCTAGTACCTAGAAATATATTTAAAATAAAAACATTGGAGAAACTTTAAAAAGAGTGATCAGGATAGGGATGGGAAAAATTATATTTTTACATTTATAGCATAAAGGAACAACTGGGCTAATGGGCTTGGAGGCTGCAATAGAGAGGTGAGAGTTGACATGAGTAAATACTTTTTAGACTAAGATCAAAATATTACTGGCATTGTAGGGTCAGGTCTTTGAACTTCAAGGACTTGTGATGCCAAATTATTTTTACTGTCTACAAAAAATCTACAGAAAAAATCTCAGATACAAAACGGTTACACGTTGACACACTGGAATTACCATGAATCTCAGAAATATAAAGGAGACCTTTTTGTCTGCTAGGCAGCACATAAGTCTGGATTTGATTTGTTTTTAATAATTTACAAAACAGGAATGCGTATATGCTAAAAAGTGAATAAGAAGTATCTATTTAAATCGAAAAACATCTGAGTTTTGTGTATATCACAAGACCCAATGGATGGCAACCCTGCCCATAGCACAGGGGTTGGAACTGAATGATCTCTAAACCATTCAGTGATTCTATCATTCTGTGATTCTATGTTTCTGTGATTCTATGGCATACCTAGAGAGATGGGAAGATCTGAGAATTTAACTAGTTTACCAAGTCATGGTACATTCCTTATCCAAACATAGTTCAACTGGCAGAGTGCTAGCTGCATCTACTCTCCAGTCTTTTTTTACAATCTGCTATCTTTTTCTTGGAGGAGGTAGAGAATAATGGTGTGGATTATTTACTCACCAAGCACCTATTTCTACTGTGTGAGGAATAGCTCAGAACTCTGAATGAAGAGTATTCAGAAAGGTCTGTTGACAATTTGCCTGCATAAAAAAGGTTGAAATGAAGGTATGTCTTCAGCAGAACCAGAACAGCTGTTGATACATCAATGTGGTTTTTATGCGAGTTCCTAAAACTTGAGCTGAACTGCTACAGTTTGCTGAGGTTGTACTGTGGTGAGACTAAGATTTGTAAAAGAAACACCATTTTCATTAGATTTAGCTTTAGTTCAGATATCACTTGCTAAAACACTGAGAGATCCTGTCTGACTTGGGACTGGCCAAGACTGGATTCCCAGCAGCAGGATAAAGCTGGAGGCAAATATTGCCATGGTGTGCACCTCATCACCATTTTGAGAAGTTGCTGGAACTGGGAAGTGTCAAATGTGGAGATCTGGTGGATGTGGATAACTGGGGCAGCTGGAAGAAATGTTTTGGAGAAAGTGCAAGAGAAAGCTATTGGAGAATGGAGAAATGTAACAAAATCTTCTCAAGGCATTTCTGAAGTCACAGTGGAATATAATATCTTCTTGTTTAGGAAGCTTGTACACGCTTGAGCACCAAGTTAATTAGTGCTGACATACATTTGTATTTAAATCAATTAATTTGTTTTCTGCCAAAAATGCTAAGTCCTGTAGGAGAGATTTTGTAGTACTGGTCAGCAGGTAGTTCCCCAGTAGAGTTTCTTCTCCAGGAGCTGCAGTCCCATGGCCCTTGTCCTACAAAGAGAGGAGTGGAGCAGGGAGGAGGACTTCTGTGCTTTGTGGCTGTGAAGAAAACTGTGTTAGAGGGAAATTTCCCATAGGAAAATAACATAAGAATGAGAAATGTGTTGGGGTGAACACAATGGGTTGTCATGGCCTATGATTACAGTGTACCAGCTGTTTTGCAACTGATAACATTGTGTGATAAACCAAAGGAAATTTCTTAGGGGCTAAGAGATTCACATTTCTATTTAAAATTTAAAAAAAAAAAAAAAAAACAAAAAAACC